GTGTGTGTGTGTCGGTGTGTGAGTGTGTGTCGGTGTGTGTGTGTGTCAGTGTGTGAGTGTGTGTCGGTGTGTGTGTGTGCGTCTGTGTGTGTGTGTGTGTGCATCTGTGTGTGTGAGTGTGTGTCGGTGTGTGTGAGTGTGTGTCAGTGTGTGTCGGTGTGTGAGTGTGTGTCTGTGTGAGTGTGTGTTGGTGTGTGTGTGAGACTGAGAGAGATTCTATCCCTTCGTCCTCAGGGTTACTGGGAATGGTCGCCCATATGATGTACTCGCAGGTTTTCCATGTGGCAGCGAGTCAAGGGCCTGAGGACTGGAGACCCCATCACTGGGACTTTGGCTGGTCCTTCTAGTGAGTACCTCATTGTTGGAGGGTGTAGGGGGGTGCCAACACCTTGTTTGATTTGATTTTGGTTTATTGTTGTCACTTGTACTGAGATGCACTGAAAAGTATTGTTTTGCGTGCTTTACAGACTGATTATACCGTACAAAGTGCATCAGGGGAGCAGGACAGAGTGCAGAATACAGTGTTACAGCTGCAGAGAAAGAGAGATCAGAATTAATATTTGAGAGGTCTGTTCAGTAGTCTGATAACAGTGGGGAAGAAGCTGTTCTTGAATCTATTCATACATGTATTCAAACTTTTGTACCTTTTGCCCAATGGAAGAGGGTGGGAACGTGTATAACCAGGGTCGGGGGGAGGGGTCTTTGATGATGTTGGCTGCTTTCATGAGGCAGCGGGAAGTATAGATAGAGTTGATCGATGGAAGGCTGGTTTGTGTGATGGACTGGGCCGTGTTTAGGACTCCCTGTAGTTTCTTGCGATCTTGGGAAGAAGAGTAGCCAAACCAAGCTTTGATGTATCCAGATTGGATGCTTTCTATGGTGCATCTATAAAAGTTGGTGACGATCCTTATGGACATGCCTAATTTCCTTAGCCTCCTCAGGAAGTAGAGATGTTGTGTACCTTCTTGACCATTGCATCGAAGTGTTTGGACAAAGGACAGATTGTTGGTGATCATCACTCCCAGGAACTTGATGCTCTCAACCATCTCCAACTCAGCTCCATTGATACAGACAGGGGCATGTCCTCCACTCTGCTTCCTGAAGTTAATGACCAGCTCCTTTGTTTTGCTGATGTTGATGGAGAGATTATTATCTTTACATCAAGCCACTAAACACTCTATCTCCTTCCTGTATTCTGTCTCATCATTGAGATCCAACTTACAAATGTCAGCAAAACTGGTAAATGGAGTTGGGGTGGAATATGGCCACACAGTCATGAGTGTATAAGGAATATAGCAAGGGGCTGGGTACGCACCTTGTGAGGAACTGGTGTTAAGGATTATTGTGGAGGTGGTGTTTTTTTTAAGAATCCCTACAGTGTGGAAACAGGCCTTTCGGCCCAACAAGTCCATGCTGACCTTTGGAGCATTCCACCCAGACCCATCCCCATCCCCATCCCCATCCCCATACAACCCACCTAATCTACACATCCCTGAACACTATGGAGTATGGCCAATCCACCTAACCTGCATATTTTTGGAGTGTGGGAGGAAACTGGAGCACCTGGAGGAAACCCACACAGACACGGGGAGAATGTGCAAACTCCACACAGACAGTCGCCCGAGGGTGGAATCGAACTGGGTCCCTGGCGCTGTGAGGCAGCAGTGCTAACCACTGAGCCACTGTGCCACCACAGGTGTTGTTGCCTGCCCTTACCAATTGCAGTCTGTGGGTCAGGAAGTCAAGGATCCAGTTACAGAGTGAGGAGCAAAGTGCTCGATCTTGGAGTTTAGAGATGAGTTTGGTTGGAATTATGCTTTTAAGGTGGAGTTGTAGTCAATACGTAGTAGTCTGATGTAGGTATCCTTGTTATCTAGCTGTTCCAGGGATGAGTGTAGGGCCAGAGACATGGTGTTTGCAGTGGACCTGAAGTGCCAGTAGGTGAACTGCAAAGGATCAAGACAATGTGGGGGACCAGCCCACAATGGAGTTGGTGTGAGTCGTGACTAAACACTTGAAGCACTTCATAATGATGGAGGTCAGAGCCACCAGGTGGTACTCAGTGAGGCACGCTGCATGATTTTCTTTGGCACTGGGGATGAGGGTTGTCTTCTTGAATCAGGTGGGAACCTCACATCAGAGTAAGAAGAGCTTAAAGATGTCAGTGAATACTCCCACCAGCAGGATCTGAGTGTGCGGCCAGAGACTCCATCTGGCCAGTCGCTTTCTGTGGGTTCACCGTTAAGAAGGCCGGTCTAACATCTGTGGGAGGGGGTGTCTGTGGGTAAAGGTACATTGGAGGCTGTTGGAATTAGGTGACATCTTTTCACTGACCTCCTGTTCAAAGCGAGTGTAGAACACATCGAGCTCATCAGGCAGGGACGTATTGTTGCTAGCGATTTTGTTCAGCTTTGCTTTGTCATTTGTTATGTAGTGTAAGCCTTGCCACAAACAATGGGTCTCTGTCTGGTTGGCCTGGGTCTCAGGTTTAGTTTAGTATCGTCTTTTGGCAGCTCTGATGGTCGTACGGAAGTCGTACCTGGATTTCCTGTATAGGTCACTATCACTCGACTTGAACATCTTAGACCTCGATTTCAGTAGGGAATGGATCTCCCGGTTCATCCATGGTTTCGGCATGCAGTCTCCTACACACTTCCTAATGACGTCTGTGATGGTAACGGCATTCTTGTTTAGGTTGACTGCTGAGTCCTTGATTATGGCCCGGTCCACCGACCCTAAGCAGTCCTGTAGAAGCCCTTCTGTTGCCTCAGACCAACACTGCACTAGTTTTGTGATGAAGAGGTGGCCATGTTAGACTGGGGTGGACAAGGTCGGAAGTCACAAGACACCAGGTTATAGTCCAACAGGTTTATTTGAAATCACAAGCTTTCGGAGCGCTGCTCCTTCATTGGGTGAAGTGGAGAGAAGCGTGCAGTCTCAGAGTTTATAGGCAGCGAGATAACGGCAAGATAATTGCAGGTAATTAAGAATGGCAGAAGATAAATACGAATAGTGTGAGTGGGGTGTCGGCAGGCTGATACCAAGTCCTTGCGGGTGATCAAAAATGTCAAATGGTGTGAATAAACAGCTGAATCTCAAGCGAAGGGATGACCTATGAACTGATTAATTGAGCCAGAGAGATAATTACAAAAAATCAAAAATAAGGTGGTGCTGGAGACAAACCAAATGTCTGGAATAACGGTAGATATAAGAGTCGTATGCCAAGGGTCTAACTAAAGTCTTCACGGGTCGGGAACTTGGCTGTCAGTCTCAGCTCGGCAATTCTGCGTTATTGTGTATCTCGGAGACCGCCTTGGAGGAGATGCTTACCCAAAGATCGGAGGCTGAATGTCCTTGACTGTTGAAGTGTTCCCTAACTGAGAAGGGACATTCCTGTCTGATGATTGTTCTGTGGTATACTGGGTCCTCACAGTTCAATTTCTGCTTTTAAGTCGGGAGGAGGAGCACAGCATTGTGATCTGATTTTCCAAAATGCAGACAGGGAATGGAGCAGTAGGCATCTCTGATGGTTGATAACAATGGTCAAGGATGTTTGGACCTTTGGTGGGCCAGGAGACATGTTGATGGTATTTTGGTAGCACGTTCTTGAGGTTGGCCTTGTTGAAGTCTCCAGTTACGATGAACAAAGCCTCAGGGTGTTCTGTCTCCTGACTGGTGTACTTTGTCAAATGCACTCTTCACTTCCACGTAGAGTGGGATGTAGACCACTATCAGGGTGGCGGGAGGTGAATATGCACAGCAGGTTGTAGGGATGGCACTTTACTGTAAGGAATTCTAGGTCCAGGGATAGTAACTCACCAGGGCCACCATGTCTGAGCACGGTATTGATCAGAAGCAGACTCCATTGCCCCCTACCTGCTTGAGAATGCTGAACCAGTCCATTTGGGGAACTGAGAAACTCTCAGGTTGTAGGCACAGACAAATGTTTGGAAGGTGAGTCTGGCTGTAGGTTCATCCATCTTGTTTTTAATGGCTTCGACATTTGCCAGGTGTGTACTGGGAAGGGGGGGGATCTTGAAACCCTGTAGCTTCGTTTCACCTGAAGTCCAGTGTGTCTCCCAGGTTTCCCGGGTGGGTGGCTGCTCATAGTTGATCCCGAGCATCTATGAGGGAAGTCTGCTCCTCCGAGAGGTAAGTGCGTGCTCCCAATAGGGGTCCACGGCACCAGTTGCAGCCTTGAGCATTCCAGGAGGTCTCATGGCTGTGTTCACTCAGGCCTCCTGGAGGTCGGGTCACAGTGTTCCTTATTCCAGCACTGACTGGGCCTCGGTTCTGGGTTTCCACGAAGTTGGGCCTGTGAGAGGTTGGAAGGCCTCTTGGCTTATGGTTCCAATGTCGCTAAGTACGTGCGTCCGATGGGGTCCCTGTACATGAACACCCTGGGGGAGGAGGGGGGCTCTTGTGGTCAGTTCAGTCGGGTCTCCTTGATGTTGAGTCACTGTGGGGTGAGGCCTCGGTCCTGGGTTTCTGCGAGGAGTTTGGGGAGTCGGGCCCATGAACATTATCGGGTCTTGTTGTCTGTTTGTGGTAACCGCTCACTCTCTGTCCTGCCCCTAACCTTGTGCTGTTTTCCAGCTTCGCCTGGGCCTCCTTCACATTCTGTATGGCTTCCTCAGTCACTGCTCTGAACGGCTACACTAAGACAGTCCTCGAATTTAACCAGTCACAGAGAATCTACCGGCACCGTTTGGAGCGGGGACTGGATTCTCTCCCAAGACGATCCTGCAGCTCAGTCCAAGCCTTTCCCGATCCGGCTCTCGGCCTCCTGAACTGCAGGCCATCAGCAGATGAACTCAACACCAGGTCCCTAGGTGATGAATGTTGTTAACTCCTGGGAAGCAGACTGCGTCCGGCTCATTCCTCTTCATTGATGTGATCCTTTTGAAATATTGTCAACATAAAACCTTTCCCCAATAAAGAAACGAGCTGTGGACAGAATGAGCCCCTCCTGGAAGTTGATGTGTGGAAACCAGTTTCTTTCCCAGTCGCTGAGCAGAACCCTCAGCAGGAGTCAGCTGTAATGGGATGGCTCAGTGGTTAGCACTGCTGCCTCACAGTGCCCGGGACCCGGGTTCGATTCCAGCCTCGGGTGACTGTGTGGAGTTTGCACATTCTCCCCGTGTCTGTGTGGGTTTTCTCCCATAGTCCAAAGACGAGCAGGTTAGGTGGATTAGCCATGCCAAATGTGGGATTATGGGGATCAGCTGAGAGTCTGGGTCTAGGTGGGATGCTCTTCGAAGGGTTGGTGCAGATGCAATGGGCTGAATTGGCCTCTGTCTGCATTCTATGTGCGAGAAAAGTTTGTTACACAGAAGCTGGTCAGTGCCTGGAACATGCTGCCAGGGAAGTTGGTAGAAATAGATACAATAACAATGTTTAAGAGATATTTATCCAGACACATGGACAGGCAGAAAATAGAGGAACACAGACCATGTGCAGGCAGGTGGGGATTAGTTTAGAATGGCATCACGGTTGGCACAGACATGGTGGGCTGAAGGACCAGTTCCTGTGCTGTACACATCTGAGAGTACATAAACACATTAGCTTTGAGGACAGCAGCAGGGGGCAGGACAGAGTGCGTGGGAGGACAGGTCTGTACTCCCACTCCACAGACTGCTCCAGGAATAATCCCGTATTTCCTCAAACAGTCCCGGAAAAGGCAAGGTAATGCGCATATTGTGACATTGAGGCAAGGAAGAGTTTCAGTTCTCCAAAGAGACTGAAAAGGCACCAGGAGAAAAGTGTTCAAGAGAGAAAGAGACCGCGCTGGAATGCAGGAGAGAATGAAGAAGGAAGTCAGACTGTTCGAGAGAGAGAGAGAGAGAGAGAGAGGGAAAACATGACAAAGAAAGCTGCTCAGGGAGAGGCGGTGGATGAGAAATGGACAGCCAGAGATAAAACATTCATAGAGGGAATACAGAAGTTATTTTAATTCTGTGGTGTCATACTAAGACTGTAAAACAGAGGAGCAGAATTAGGCCATTCAGCCCATTGACTCTGCTCCACCATTTGATCATGGCTGATGCTTCTCAAACCCATTGTCCTGCCTTCTCTCTGTACCCCTTGATCTCCTCACTAACAAGAACCTAGCTGTATCTGTCTTAAAGATACTCAATGACTTGCCTCCACAGCCCTCTGCTTTTCTGTCCTCTGGGGTTAGTCCTGTGGGGCTGGCTGTTGGAAAGAAACCAAAGGTTTTATTCCATCAGAAGAAAGAAGCCAGGTCCCCAGTGAGGACACTTGGCAACAAAGAGGGCTGTTTGAAACAGACAGCATGTTGTCACCTGGTAATACAAGCCATCAGTGAGAATGGCCACTCCCAGGTCACTGCTTCTACCATCAAAAGATGTTCTCACGGGTACCCAGTGATGGAGAGGATGCACGAACAAGGCAATACAGTCTCCGTGCATTTCCAGGATCAAAACGACAGATGAGTCCTGGGAACGGCTATGTCACAGACCCAACCGAATTCAATCAGTGGTGTTTCTCAAAGCCAGCCTGAAGACTGGAGACTGATATTCTGATAGCGGCACAAAAGGAACCCAGATTGCCTCTGAACAGAACAGTTAATGTTTACACAGCCAACACCATGACGAGTCTGTCTGGAACAAAAGAGGGGCAGGGAGGATGGTGAAAGGACACTGGGACTGGTGCCACTGCTTCTGAATGAGGAACTAACAGCATCATGGGGACTAAGCACAGCTGTTCTTTCAAAGAGTGAGCATAGGAATGCTGGCCGAGTGGCCTCTTTGTGCTGTAATGTTCTATAGGGAACAACTATTGGATCAACTGCTACCCAGAGGGACAACAGTGATCAAAAGATACAGGACAGATGGATTGAATGAGAAGGGAGTTACGATGATAAGTTTATTACTGTAATATATTGACTTGTTGGTAGGAGACAGACGGTAGAGGGTTGCTTTTCAGACTGGAAGCCTGTGACCAGCAGTGTGCCACAGAGATTGGTGCTGGGTCCACTGTGTTTTTGTCATTTATATAAATGATTTGGATGTGAATGTAGAATGTATGGTTAGTAAGTTTGCAGATGACACCAAAATTGGAGATGTGGTGGACAGCGAAGAAGGTCACCTCTGGGTACAACAGGATCTTGATCAGATGGGCCAATGGGCTGAGGAGTGGCAGATGGAGTTTAATTTAGATAAATGTGAGGTAAGGCAAATCAGGGCAGGACTTATACACTTAATGATCAGGCCCTGGGGAGTGTTGCCAAACAAAGAGACCTTGGAGTGCAGTTTCATAGTTCCTTGAAAGTGGGGTCACAATCTCTGCTCCTATGATGCTGCTTGGCCTGCTGTGTTCATCCAGCCCTGCACCTTGTTGTCTAGGATAGCAAAGAAGGTGTTTTGTATGCTTCCCTTTATTGGTCAGTGCGTTGGGTATAGGAGTTGGAAGGTCATGTTGCAGCTTTACAGGACACCGATTCGGCCACTTTTGGAGTATTGTTTCCCTGCTGTAGGAAGGATGTTGTGAAACTTGAAAAGGTTCAGAAAAGATTTACAAGGATGTTCCCGGGGTTGGAGAGTTTGAGCTATAGGGAGAGGCTGAATAGGCTGGGGCTATTTTCCCTGGAGCGTCGGAGGCTGAGGGGTGACCCTATAGAGGTTTATAAAATCATGAGGGGCATGGATAGGGTGAATAGTCAAGGTCTTTTCCCCAGGGTAGGGGAGTTCAAAATTAGAGGGCATAGGTTTAACGTGAGAGGAGAAAGATTTAAAAGGGACCAAAGGGGCAACTTTTTTACAGAGAGGGTGGTGTGTATGGAATGAATTGCCAGGAAAGTGGTGGAGGTTAGTACAATTACAGCATTTAAAAGGCATCTGGATGGGGTTTAGAGGAATATAGGCTAAATGCTGGCAAATGGGACTAGATTTATATAGGATACCTATTGGCATAGACGAGTTGGACCAAAGGGTCTGTTTCCGTGCTGTACAGCTTTGACCCTATGCCTCTATATTATTAGTTATATTGTAAGTACATTCTTCCTGTTGGCTTTTGGGCCTATTGCTGTATTAATATTTAGTGCACCAGGGGGTGCCCTTGTCAACATGCCACACTGTAATTACACCCCCTCACCAATTGTGGCACTGGAACACTGTAGCTTGTACTGCAGAGGAAAACAAGGCTGTACTCCAGCCCAAACACAAGAACTTCTGGAGAAACTCAGCAGGCCTGGCAGTATCTGTAGACAGGAAATAAAGTCAATGTTTCAGTCCAGCGACCTTTCTTCAGAACCGATTGTAGTTAGAGGTGGTATATATGTTGAAGCTTGGGAAGGAGTGGGGAAGGGAGTCAACAAGGTGTGGAGATAGACCCGAGAAAAAGAGACAGAACAGCAGTCGGGCAGACAAAGGAATGGATAATGGTGAAGTGGAGAGAAAGTAAGGCTGTTAATGGGAACCGTTAGAGGGTGACAATGGGTTAGCTGTACTGAAAGCAGCCCATGTGATGACAAGGCCTGGTGTGTGGGGGTTAGGGTAGGGACATGGGAGGAGGTGCTCTGACCCTAAAATTGTTGAACTCGATATTGAGTCCAGAAGGCTGCAGAGTTCCCTCAAACAGAAAATGAGGTGCTGTTCTTCCAGCTTATACTGAGCTTCACTGGAGCACTGCAGCAAGCCTGAGACAGAGATGTTGGCCAAGGAACAGTGTTGAAGTGGCAGGAAACTGGAAGCCCAGGGACTTTTTTGCATACGTAGGAGTTTGGCGAACTGGTCACCCAGTCTGCACTTCGTTTCCGTAATGTAGAGGAGACCACACCGTGAGCAGCGAATACAGTAGACTAGATTGTAGGAAGTGCAAGTAAATTGCTGCTTTACCTGGAATGTCCCAGTGACCCTATTGCTGTTGTAAGAGGGAAGAGAAGGGGTGAGGGCAGAAGTCTGGGAGATGGGTTGAATAAGGGCCCTATAAACCACAGTGGTGAGGAATCCTTCGTTGAGGAAAAGGTTGGATATTTCTGAGGTTCCCCTGCAGAAGGCGGTATTGGCAGATGTGATGGAGACAGAGAAACAGGGAGAATGGGATGGAATCCTTACAGGAAGCAGGGTCTGAGGATGTAGAGGCAAAGTAACTGTGGGAGTCAGTGGGTTTGTAGTGGATATCAGTGGCCAGTCTATCCCCAGAAATGGAAACAGATATTTTGAGGAAGGGAAGGGAGGAGTCATAGATAGAACAGAGGAAGGTGACAGCAGGATGGAAATTGGAAGTGGAATTGATAAACTTTTCAAATTTGAGTTTGAGAGAGGGAAACTGCACTGATGATGTCATCAGAACAGGAGTGGAACAAGGACTGTTCCACAAACCCCACAAAAAGAGAAGTTGTTCAGAGTGAGGATGAGTTTGGCCAACCTGAGGATGCTAGTAGTGGTTGATGGGAATGGTTCGGGCGTTTTTATCCAGGAAGAAGCGGAGAGCACTGAGACAATCCTGATGGGGGATGGACGTGTATAGGGATTGCACAGCAATGGTAATGGGGAGGTGGCTAGAGGCCGAAAACTGGAAATTCCAAAACTGGTGTAAAGCTTCAGAACAATCATGGATGTAGGTGGGAAGGGGAGGGACAAATGGAGAAAAAACTGAGTCGAGGTAGGAAGAGTTCTGTGGGGTTGGAGCAGGCAGAAACAATGGGTCTGTTTGTGAGTTTTGGGAGGGAGGTAGAAGTGAGCTGTGTGGGTTTGGGAGACTATGAGCTTGGAGGGTTTGGTGGTGGGGAGGGTGGGGAAAGGGAGATTACCAGATGAAATGAGGTTACTGACTGTTGTAGACACAATATCCTGATGTTCCATGATTGGGGTCATAGTCCAGAGGAGATAGGAGGAGGGAGCTGAGAGCTGGCGCTCAGCCTCCGCAGTGTAAAAGTCAGTCTGCCAGACAACAACACCACCCTGTCAGCGGCTTAATTACAAAGTCAGGGTTGG